GAGAGCTGTGACCAATTATGGACCGATCGGAAAAAAATTTCATAGTAATATTTCTATACGTGAGAGCTATACTTGTACCAAACTTTATATGGATATTTTAATTTAGTAATGAGTTATGTGTGTTTAAGTGATTTTCGGGAGGGGACCTTGTATGGGAGCTATGACCTATTATGGACCGATCGGAAAAAACTTTCACAGTAATAGTTTTGTGCATATGAGCAATACTTATTCCAAATTTTATATGGATATCTTAATTTAGTAATGAGTTATGCGCGTTTAAGTGCTTTTCGGGAGGGGACCTTGTATGGGAGCTATGTCCAATTATGGACCGATCCAAAAACGTTTTCTCCCTATGAATTCTATTGACATAAGATTTTAATTTGTAAAATTTTGTGAAGATATCAACATTCTAACGGAAGTTATTAACAAAAAACTAATTTTCCGGGAATATGTACTTTTGTATGGGAGGTATATGAAATTATGGACCGATTCTGGCAATTTTCAGCAGGAATCAATATCTTGTGTAGAAACGAATGTATGATGACTTTCATGAAATTATCTTGCATAGTTTTCGAGAAAATTACATCAGAATGTGTAAAAAATGCTTATTTTTTTCGGAGTTGTTTTAAATTTTGATTCATAACTTTTCCCGATGTGAACCGATTTTGCTCATTTTCAATACCAAACTGTACCAGATAATAGTGAATATTTTGGGTGAATTTGGTTAAATTATATTGCTTTGTTTTAACGTGAGCGTGTTTTACACAGACAGACAGACAGACGGACGGACGGACATAGCTAAATCGACTCAGAATTTCATAAGGACCCAGAATATATATATACTTTGTTGGGTCTCAGATGAATATTTCTTGGTGTTACACACGGAATGACAAAGTTGAGGGTATATATCCTCTATCACCACTGATGGTGGTGGAGGGTATAAAAAAGGACATTTAACTGCGTAGGTCCTTGGCATGGTAAGTTCCTAAAAGTTTACCTGAGAGATTTTCCAAAACGTAGTAGTGACTGCCTAATTTTTCTTTGATCCTAGCCTTTAGAAACATTGATGCTAATTTTGCATTGAAATTCTTCTCTGCATTACTTTGTGCAAAATTTCGCCTGAAAACCTCTTGGCCTATATGAAAATTTGGGACTCTTACTCTTAGATCATACTGTTTTTGATTACGTTCATATGCATCACGAATACATTTACGAATGTCCTGTCTAATAGTTTGCAATTGGTCATCATGGGAAAGTGTCACCGAAGGTTCATTAAGTAAATTCAGTTTTCTCAACACCTCATATGTGGACCCATGTGTAACCATGTTAAATCCGAAAAGAGCATAATATGATGCACATTTTATTGTCTGGTGTAGAGAATTCCGTAAAGCACAACTGATGGCCGTTAAGTGTTCATCCCAAAGCTTTTGATCACCTTTCAAATACGCTCGAATTCCTGCTATTAGAGATCTGTTTACTCGTTCCGAAGCATTTGACTGCGGCGAATGTATTGCCGTGTATGTGTGAGTAATGCCATATTTTGTTAAAAGAGCATTAAACTCATTAGCTCGAAATTGTGTACCGTTATCACTAATGATCGTTTCGGGAACGCCGTATACATGAAATATTTGTTTTTCTATGAATTCGTTTTTTGAGGTTTTGAAATTCTTAAGTGGACAAAGCCAGTGAAGCTTCGAGAAGTGGTCTAATATTATCAGTAGACCAATATATCCTGACTTACTTCGAGGATATGGTCCAAGAAGGTCAACGTAGAGGCGTTGGAAGCGACGTACCGATATTGGTTGTTTTCCCATTGGTGGCTTTCTAATAAAGTTTGGGGCTTTTGTGCATTTGCATACATCGCAATCTCTTATATACTGATGAACATCATTCACCATACCTGGCCAAAAGAAACATCTCCTAATAAGCTCAAGGGTCTTTCCCATTCCTCCATGAGCTGTTATTGGACAGTCATGGGCGCGTTTAATTACATTTTCCACTAACGGTTTAGGAATCCACAACTTCCAAGATTCCACTTCCTGATCATCATTACCTGCATAATGTTCAGTTCGAATATAAACAAAGTCATCAATTATTTTAATATCCGGGTACTTACTTTGATTAGAACTAACTTTATTCTTCAGATCAAGGTAGTTTGAATCTTGAAAATGTGGAGATGATAAATCAATTTCTGGTTCAATTACTTGCAAAGAACAGATCTCGTGTTCGGGAATTCTGGACAAAGCATCCGGAGCAATGTGCTCCTTCCCTTTGTAGTGGTCAGTCACTACTTCAAACTCTTGCAGCTCCAGGTAACATCTAAACTTCTTAATAGCTTCGACAGCAGCCAAGCATTCCTTCTCTGTAACGCTGTAATTACGCTGCGCCGAATTCAATTTCCTGCTCATATAGGCAATTGGCCTTTCATTTCCTTCATCATCTAATTGAACTAAGACTGCGCCGATGCCGTAATTACTAGCGTCACAGTGAAGGTAAAACTTCCTTTCGAAGTTTGGATTAGTTAACACTGGAGCTGACGTGAGTAAATCTTTAATTTTCTCAAAGGCAATCTGAGCTTCAGATGTCCATTTAAAATTTTTCTTGGATTTCAACACTTCTGTTATAGGGTAAACTTGACTAGCAAAATTTTCAATAAATCGCCTATACCAGCCGGCAAGTCCGAGAAAACCTCTCACTTGCTTTAAGTTTTTGGGTACTGGCCAGTTTTGCACCGATTGAATTTTATCTTGGTCGGTTGTAGTCCCTCCCTCACCGATAATATATCCTACATAATTTACTCCAACTACACAAAATTTACTTTTCGAAATGTTTAACGTGAGATTTGCTCGTCTAAACTGGGCTGCAATACGGTGTAAATGTTCCAAATGTGTTTCGAAGTCTTCGGATACTATAATTAAATCATCTAAATATCCAAAGATACAATGGCGAATATCTGGTGGAATTAACTGATCCATTAGCCTGCACATGGTCTGCGGCGCGTTACACAGGCCGAATGGCATGACTGTGAACTGGTATAACGGGCGGGTAAAGGCAGTAAGAGGCTTGGCAGAATCATCTAATCCTATCTGCCAATAGGCATCTTTGAGATCGAGCTTTGATATGATGTTGGGCTTTGGAAGGCGAGAAAAAATACCCTCTATATTATGAAGAGGATAGGCATCCTTTTTGGTTGCAAGGTTTAGCTTCCTCGCATCTAAACATAACCGAATCTTTTGTGGTTTAATAACTAACCTCATTGGTGAAGACCAGGGGGATGTTGATGGTTCAATCACCCCTAGAGCCAACATTCTATCCACTTCACCAAATATAAGTTTCTCTACCGCGGGAGAAACCGGATAAAACCTTTGTTTGACAGGCGTGGAATTACCCACGTCGATCGTATCAGTTTTTATCTTAAATGTAAATTTTTATAAATGTAAGTGAAATAATTTGTTTATTCGGGTTAGAAAGGGTAGGGTATAGATTAGTTTTAAGTAGCGGGTAAGTAAATAAAACTCTTTTCCTTTTCTTTTCAAAAACGTTATAAACCGTATATATGTTTATTGAACTTTGGGTAAGTATATAGTGTAAGTAGGAGAAGTATATAATTCACAAAATTTTATTTGATGTTGTAGGGTTTGTTGGTTTGGTTGTTGTTTTGTTTGCACACACTTGTTCTTTACACGGCTAGTTGTTAAGAAGTGTTTATATTAAAGCTGCAGCTAACTTTTGCATGTAAGCTGAAGTTGGCTGCAGTTAAGATGTGGGTGCTGTTTGACATCAGGGATGGGTATTTTTTGTTCATTGAAATGAACATCCTCCCGGGCCTAGCAACCTGTGAAGAAAAAGAACAATTATTTTCATTTGTCCAACATTGGGTTAAAGAGAGTAATGGTAATTATTTAGTGAAATACTTTATTATATTCTTAATTGGTAAGGGATCCCATAACTAGCCAACCCAGGGTTGAATCCTGGGCTATCAGTGAGCCGCCATCAATATGTATTGTATTTGGATGTAAAATGGTGGTATACAAATCACCACCAATTTCCATGGCTACGGGTGAGTTGGCGTAAAATTCTGGGTCGGTCAGAGAAATTCGGCAGAACTTCCCTTTTACAGTTGGGTCCAAACCATGAGCGTAAGGGGTTCTTGGCAGGTCATTTGACACCTGCATGCACACCTCATATTGTATTGTGGAAGCCATGTTGGGTGATATAATGACCTTCACGTAAACATTTTCATCCACTTTAAACGGGTTTAGTGTTGATTCTCGCACAAACGCTACGCCTATTTTTGAGGTCGTTAGGCTCGGGTTTAATAGAGCTCTCACGAGTTGTTTCGACTTTTCTGTCACAACCTGAACTACAACCGTGGGTACCACTGTTTGGTTTCGGGATGTTGGCAAAGTGGTTGTTACAGTTGGCATCACAATCGTTCGTGGCGCAGGAATCGGAGCAATAGTCCTTTTTGTGGTGGAGACTGTTCCTTTGGCAAATCTTTCAGGATCCGATCTAGGCCGTGTAGGGTGGTGTGATGCTTGCCCTTGCACTTTTGGCATCGGGATTTACTGGAACATTTTCCGATTAGATGATTCCTGGCCAGACAATTGACGCAATAGTGAAATTTAACTGCGGTTTTGTATTTCTCCGCCAAGTTCATCTTTTGGAACTTTCGACAATTTGTTAAGCTGTGATCGCCTTGACAAATACCGCAACCAAAATGGCGTTTTGGTTGACGTTTATCGTTTTTGCGGTTGGGTTTGGGCCAAGATCCATTGCGGCTGGGACGGTTGGTACGTCCTTTGCGATTGTTGTTGTTGGGTGCCATATTCTGTGTAAAATAAATTATGTGTTAATGAATGAAGTGTAATGAATGTGTTAGTGGGTTAAGGTGAAGGGTTAAATGATTCATAATAAATTTGGGTTAGTTAGAGTGGTTAGTTGAGCTAGTTACTGATGATATTGTTATTTTGGGTTAGGGTTTGAGTAAAAGTATTAGACTAATTAGCGGGTAAAACAACAATTTTAGTAATTGATCGGGTTAGAGCACCAGTTGAAGTTTGTAAATCAACTACTCTACTTCTACCATCAGAACCAGGGTATGTTTTAGTCACACGACCAAGTAACCATTCATTGGGTGCTAAATTGTCTTGTCTAATTACTACAATATCACCTATTTCAACTTCTCGGGTAGGGTTTTTCCACTTATATCTTTTATGGAGCTCTTTAAGATATTCATCTTTCCATCTTTTACAAAAGTTGTGATGTTGTATCTTTAATTTTTGCCATCTGTTAGCCAGGGTTATATTATCACTGCTTGTGTCGGGTTCTGCAGGGGTAAGTATGGGTGAGCCAATTAAAAAGTGTCCAGGGGTTAACGGGTTAAGATCCTGAGGGTTTTCACTTGACGGGCTTAAGGGTCTCGAGTTTAGGCATCTTTCTATTCGAGCAAGGAGTGTAGCTAGCTCTGCAAACGTATATTTAAGGGTATTTATTTTCTTCAAATGAGCTTTAAAGCTTTTAACTCCTGCCTCCCATAAACCGCCCATGTGTGGTGCTCCTGGGGGTATAAAATGCCACGTCAAATTCTGAAAACTGTTGGTAGATATAATGGAACCTTTCAATTGCCTGATGAATTCCTGTCGCTCTTTCTTCAATAGCTTACTAGCTCCAATGAAATTTGTCCCATTGTCCGAGTGAATGGCGACAGGGCATCCCCGCCTCGAAAAAAATCGAGCGAAGGCTGCCATAAAGGCTTGGGTAGACAAATCAGATGTTGGCTCCAAGTGGATGGCTTTTGTTGCAAAGCAAACAAAAACACAAACGTAACCTTTCGTTATTTCACAAGTTCTGCCACTATATGCTTTGACGTCAAATGGTCCTGCAAAATCAACTCCAACATTTGTAAAAGCTTTATCAATTTGTGTTCTTTCTGGTGGCAACGCCGCCATAAATTGGGTTGTTTGTCTATTCCTATATCTTATGCAGGGTGAGCATTTGTTAACATTACTAATCAGATTCTTAAGTTTCGGAATCCAATATCCTGATCGGATTATTCTCAACATAAGTTGATTTCCAACATGCAGGGTTACCAGGTGGACGTGTTGTACTAGTAGCTTAGCAAATGCACTTTTATAGGGTACTAATATAGGGTGTCTTTCGGAATAGGACAAAAAGCATTATCTTTGCAGAATCTAAAAATGGCGTTAGGGTGAGCAGGTAACTTTTATTGGGTATAGGGTTTCTTTTCTTCAGGCAGTTATATTCGTTTCTAAAATATTCAGTCTGACAAAGAATAATCAGTCTATCACGGGTAGATTTGATCTCTGACGCATCCAGTTCAATACTTGGGTGGGTAGTTAATAAACGTAGCCTATCATTAACTAGTTGTGGGTTATTTCGATCAAGAATAATTCTATCATTTCGAATTGTATTGTTCCGTTTACATGATGCGCGATCTCAAAATCGATAGACATATGTCATTTCTCGTAGAGCATTTGACAATTTTGAAAATCTTGATAATATATCTGGGTTTTTAGTATTCGTATCTAAGGTAGGGTGGGTATTAACTGTCGTAGCAAACGACTGACTAACTTTAGCTTCAGCTTGAGTTACAAAGTGTTTACATGTTGTTGGTCACTTTGACGCGACTTCTTTCAACCACGATGGTCCATTCCACCATAAAGTGTCATCTCGTAATTCATCAGCGTTACATCCTCGGCTAGCAACATCGGCAGGGTTATCATGTGAAGCAACATGATTCCAGTTATCTACTCCTACTGCTTGTAGAATTGTTGAAACTCTGTTTGCCACAAATGTATTCCACGAGTTAGGGTGTTTAATAAGCCAGGCCAAAACTATAGATGAGTCGGTCCAGAAATACGTCTGACGTAAGGGTAGGTTGAGTTGGGTGAGTAAATTGTGTGTCATATTTGCCAACAACACTGCACCACAAAGTTCAAGTTTTGGTAACGAGATTACTTTGATTGGCGCAACTCTCGTCTTAGCGAAGAGTAGGGTTACGGAATTAGGTCCATCTATGGGTGTTACTCGTGCATATAGAAATGCATAGTATGCCTTTTCAGAAGCATCTGAAAAGCCATGAAACTCAATTTTTGCTGAAGGTGAAAAGTTAATCCATCTTGGAATACGAATTCGATTAATATTATCGTAGAACTGCAAAAACTTTTGCCATTTTATAAGGGTGAGTGGGTTAAGACATTCATCCCAAGCTGTAGCTGTATCTTGCCAAATTTGCTGCATAATAATCTTGGCAGATATAACAATTGGCGCTAACCAACCAGCTGGGTCAAAAAGACGAGCAATGTCTGATAACACAGTTCGCTTTGTGTATGCTGACTTTCTTTCAATTAAGGGTACATTAAAGAAAAACGTATCTTCTTTAGCATTCCAACGAATGCCTAACGTTTTAGCATTATTTGATTCGGATAGGGTGAGTAAATCAACATCGAGTAGATGTTCTTTGGGTAGATTGTGTAATAATTCCTTTGTATTGGAAATCCATTTTCTCAAAGGAAAACCAGCAGAGTCTAGAGCCGCGATCAATTGGGTTTGAGCTTTTTGAGCTTCTTCAATTGTGTAACCTCCGGCTAAGACATCATCAACATACATGTTGTTTCGCAAAATTTGCGAAGCTATAGGGTGGGTATTTTGAATGTCATCGGCTAATTTGTGTAGGGTTCTAATAGCCAAATATGGTACACAGTTAACACCAAATGTAACTGTTTGCAGTTCATAATCTTGAATGGGTTCGTTGACGCCTTTACGGAATAATATTCGTTGGAAGGGTGTGTGGGTAGGGTTTAGCATAATTTGCCGGTACATTTTTGTAATGTCGGCATTATAAACTATCTTGTAAAAGCGCCATTTCAAGATAAGTACAACTAAATCTTGTTGTAGGGTAGGACCAGTGTGTATGGTATCATTAAGACTGTTGCTGTTCGAGGTTTTGCTAGATGCATTAAATACAACTCGAACTTTTGTCGTAACACGATCAAGTTTAACAACAGCGTGATGGGGTAAATAATAATGGGTGTTTGAAGGAGTGTTTGGGTTATATTTAATTGGTTTCATATGACCTAAATCGATATACTCTTGTAGCACGTTATCATATTCCATTTTAAGCTCTGGCTTTTTCATTAAACTTTTCTCGTTACGTAGAAATTGAGCCGTAGCAACGTGTCTAGAGTTTCCTAACTCGACAGGAGGGTATACAAATGGTAAATTTTCCTGATAACGGCCATTTGGTAATCGAAGGGTAGTGGTCATAAAAGTTTCTTCACATAAAGAACTTTCTTCTGAAACTTTGGGTTGGGTGGGTACATCTTCAATTTCCCAGAACTTGGTCAAAACTTTATCAAGCGTAACTGAACTGAAGTAAGAAACTAAGGGTTGGGTATTTTTGTTGATTTTTTGGGTTTTCCCATTCGAATCATTTGTTACGTTATGAAATGTTTTGCCTTTTCTGTCATATTGTGTTCTGACATCTTGGAATTGTTTGGGTTTAGGGTGGGTAGGGTTAATACTATGGTCCTGGACATCATTAACCGAAGTTAGTTCCTTAAATGTGTTAGTCAAAAATACATCTAAGTCAGTCCAAGAAGGCATCTCTGCACAATCTGGAAGAGATTTCTCAAATTCTCTTCGGGTTTCTCTGGGTAATTTCGATGTGCATAAATATACTGAATATATTAATCCTCGGACAGGATTAATAGATTTTAAGGACTTTATAATTTCTCAAGGAATGAGAAATTATAAAGTGTAGTTGTAGCGTGTGGGGAAGAAAGAGAAAACACAAGGCAATTAGTTTTAAATAAATAAAAGGGATTTTATTTATTAATTGATGCTCACCTTTGGCTGGTTTAAAAAGAAGTGAAGGTTTATTCATTTTTTAAATGCCTTGAAGGCTCTTTTCACACAACGTTATAACGGATACTTATGTTTCGTTAAGTTTAATACATAATAAGTAAATTAAATACAGTTTAGTTTTGTACATACGTTAACTATGTATATAAACTAGGGTTTACAAAAGTATTAAATTCAAATAAAAAAACAAGGGAAAAGCGGCCGACAGATGGAGTTATTTCAAAATTTAATATTAAATTTGTAAATTTTCCATAAAATTTGTAACAATTTGTTGCAAAAATTGGTATTTGCACTGAAATATCATGTTTGAAATATTTAAGTTACATGAATTTTGTTTATTTTCCTATTTTTATACATTTTAAAAAATATTTGCCATCTATTGGTGAATAGCAAAATAAAACAAATTAAATCATTTTTAAATTATTTTGGTTTTATTCTATGAATACAAAGCATTGCCATATTGAAATTAGCTAAATCCAACTATTTTTTTGGATTTAATAAATCCAATTTGGATTTACTTCTTTTAGCTGCAGAACCGCCATTGTTGCACTAAAATTAATTTTTCTTTGACCTTCTATTAGCATATACAGTGTATTTTCAGATTATGATGACCAAAACTAAATTTCAGCCTCCAAAGATAGTTTTTTTCTTGAAATAAAATAAATCCAAAATAAATCCAGTGATTAAAAAAAGCCCCTAATAATAATAATAATAATAATAATAATAATAATAATAATAATAATAATAATAATAATAATAATAATAATAATAATAATAATAATAATAATAATAATAATAATAATAATAATAATAATAATAATAATAATAATAATAATAATAATAAAAATTTAAACTAAAATAAATTCAATACAATTCAATTCTTAATGCTAATTTGGACATGGCGCCCCTCATTGCACTTGGGCAATTAGTTGTTTGTGTGGGAAACGCATAGTACGGCTGCTAGGGAGCGAATGGCCTCCGAGATGACCAGGTTGGGCATGGTACGTGTTGTTATTGTTGTTGTTGGAGCGACAAGTGTTGGTGTTGTTGGTGCGACGAGTGTTGGTGCGCCTTGGCTGAGGGCTGGGGCTGGCAACTTGATAGCGTTGGCTGGTTCTGACGGTGTTGTTGGTGGGACGGCGACGGTGGGTGATGATGGTGCGATGACGTTGATGATGTGTGCTGGTGGTACGGTGACGTTGATGATTGATAGGTCGACGGCGATGAGGGTTTGCACGATGGCGGTAGTCCCGGCGGCTTGGACGGACCAGTTGACGTTCGCCCAGTCTATTCTGGACACTGCCTTCTGGTGCAGTGACTCGGGGATGACGGCTTGGGTGAAGGAGCGTGTGGTGTAGCCGACCGCAATACATGCAGGTATCGGGGCTATCGCAACTGTAAACATTGTGCATTCTGGCCAAACAGTTGAGGCAGTATTCATATCGCTGGGCCACCGTAAAACGCTCTGCGGACTCCATCGCCAAAAAACGCCGGCAGAACCGTAGCGAGTGATAACGGTCACAGAGTCGGCACTGGTGCACTGTTGGGTCTCTGGGTGATTGATCTCGCATGCTGTAAGGAGAAAACGTATGAGTAACGTTGATTTAAAAAGTAATGAGAATGGAAATGAAAAAAAAAAACGATTATGATAGGATATAGGAATGTGGGATAAAAAATGTTAATAAGTAATTAGTCGCTAGTTTGAACGTTATTATATGGCAGATAGCATAATTTAGTGATGGGACGAGTGATGATGCCGCCTTTTGTACGAACATCAACTACTCGAACATAATTATCGCAACCGCTGTGTATTTTTTCTATTCTACCTAAACGCCATTCACATGGTGGTAGAAGATCGTCAATTACCACTACAAAATCTCTTATTTTTAAATTAGGTGTGGAAAACTTCCATTTATATCTCTTATGGAGTGACTTTAAATATTCTTGTTTCCATTCGATTGCAAGTTTTTGGTTAATTGCATTTAGTTTTTCCCATCGATTTATTAGGGAAAGATTTTGATAGTTTGGATCTGGTAAAGCCATAATTGGACCGCCACGGAGAAAGTGTCCTGGGGTCAACGCGGTAAGATCAGCTGGGTCTTCAGAGAGAGCGGATATGGGCCTAGAATTCAATACACCTTCAATACGAGCTAATACCGTGGTAAACTCTTCAAATGTGAACCGATGGGCTCCTGCCACCCGCTTTAAATGGAATTTAAAGCTTTTGACCGCCGCTTCCCAAAGTCTTCCCATGTGGGGAGCCTGGGGGGGAATGAAAGACCACTCAAACCCATGAGTTATGTATTTTTGAGCAATGTCTTGTGAAACGGAGTTTATAAAAGTAGTAAATTCCTTGCATAAAGCTCGATTCGAACCAACAAAATTTTTACCATTGTCAGAGACTAGTTTATGTGGAAGACCACGGCGACCAACAAATCGGGCGAATGTTGCTTGGAACGCAGCTGCAGAAAGGCTGGAACAGGGCTCTAAATGGACCGCTTTGGTAGCAAAACATACAAATACGCATGCATATCCTTTGATGATAGATGATCTTCGTAAATTGGAACTTTTAAGCTCAAACGGACCGGCAAAATCTACTCCGGTTATGTTGAATGGGAAGGACAGGGTACAACGGTCGGTAGGCAAAGCCGCCATAATTTGAGAGCATGGTTGTTTCTTCTGAATTATACAAGTTTTGCAATATCTTATGAGTTTTTTAACTTTGAGTTTGAGACGAGAGATATAAAATTCGGTTTGTATCATCCGACACATTAAAGTGCATTCTCCATGGGCTAAAATCTCGTGCAAATGGGATAAATATAGATTACAAAAGTGTGAATTTCGGGGTAGAATGATTGGGAAACGCTCGTTGTAAGGTAATAAAGAATTGGCAAGGCGACCATTGACTCTTAAGAGACCTTTGGAGTCTAGAAATGGATTTAATGTGAATAAAGAGCTGTCTTTTGGAATGGGCTGATTTTCAGAGAGTAATTCATATTCACGCTGGTAGAATTCCTTCTGAGCTAACATTATTAATCTGGACTTTACAGAATTGACTTCCTGTTGACTGAGTTGAGAATTGTGATTAGCTAAGTTGTTGGTTTGATTGGCAAACGAAGGTTTAAAACGCCGAATATATCGAAAAACGTATGCAAGAACTCTTAACGACCTCGTGTAGGAGGAGATTCTTTTAAGAATGTCTACGGAAGAGACTGTAGTTTGAAATCTACTGATGGGAACAGTTAAGCTTTGGGTTTCTGTTTGTTTAAGAATAGAAATTTCGGGAGATTTCGTGGTATTCAACGGATTATTCTGTGGCCATTCCGAAACCGGGTTTGTGATCCATGGTGGGCCTTGCCACCAAAGTTGGTTATTGATTAAGTCCTGTGGTCTGCATCCTCTGGAACCTAGATCAGCGGGATTGAAATGAGTTGGAACATGGCGCCATTTTGCATTTGGCAGTAGTTTATGGATTTGGCTTACACGATTAGAAACATAGACTTCTTTCCAGGTCGAAGGTGGCTTAGCTAGCCATCCTAAAACAATCGATGAGTCACACCATAAAATGATTTCGTGATTTTCCATATTAAGGGAAGATATCGTATATTGTACTAATTTAGCTAGCATGACTGCGCCCGAAAGTTCTAACCGAGGTAAAGTTGTAGATGCTAATGGAGCAACCTTACTTTTGGAAACTAGCAAATGCGAAAAGACGACAGGAGAAGATGTTTGTATTCGAATATATACTGCTGCACAATACGCCAATTTGGAGGCATCACAGAATCCGTGAATTTGAATAGTATCAACGGGAGTGAACTGAATCCAACGAGGGATTTGGATTTCATTTATATGCGAGAGATCGCTTACGATTTCATTCCAGATTCGGAGAGAATCTGTACTGACAAAATTATCCCAATCGATTCGTTCAAGCCATAATTGCTGAATAACAATTTTGCCTTTAATGACTACAGGTGATATCCAGCCAGCTGGATCGAACAATTTGAAGATACGATTTTGCGTTTGGTTATTTTTGTTTCTTGAGGAATAGATTCAAAAGTATAGTTGAACGAATCAATCAATGCGTTCCAGCGAATACCGAGAGTTTTTGTAGCACTGGAATCATGAAATTTGAGAAAATCAGAATCATAAAGATCTTCTTTGGGAAAAGAAGCTAACAAACGAGAGTTATTGGAGGTTAATTTCTTTAATAAGAAACCAGCTGATTCTAGAGTTTGCACCAGGTCTTTCTGGGATTTTATAACCTGTTCGAGAGAATGACCACCAGTTAGAATATCGTCTACATAGGTTTCTCTACGTAATATATCAGCTGCTTTGGGAAACTTATCTTCGGAATCAGACGCTAACTGGATTAATGTCCTAATGGCTAAAAATGGTGCACAATTTATACCAAATGTAACAGTCTTTAACTGGTAATCCTTGATGGCCTCCCGGGGGGATTTTTGGAAGAGTATTCTCTGAAACGGCCTGTCTTGGGGATTGACTAATATCTGACAGTATAAAGAACGTCGTTTAATGAAAACCCTGACTTAGTTTTGCGGGAAGCATTGAAAACAACCCTAACCTTCGTAGATTTACTTTCTGGTCTTACGACTGCATGATGAGGGAGATAAAAGGAGTTACATTTATTTTCCGAAAAGTACTCACGAGAAGTTGTTTCTTCCATATGATTGAGGGTTATATACTCAGTGAGCACGTCGTTATATTGAGTGCTTAACGCGGGATCTTTTTCCAACATCTGTTCCATCCGAACATATTGACTAAGAGCGATAAATCTTGATGGGCCAAGAAACCTTGATTCCGGGAACTCCTGTCGAAATGGTAATCTGACCATATATCGTCCATTTGGTAAGCGTGTTGTGGTTTGTTGATAAAATTTTTCACAATATTCATCCTCTGAGGAAGCTGGCCGGGATGATGGAATTTCTTCCTGCTCCCAAAACTTTCGAACTATTTCATCCAAGGTAAAGTCTTCAGTGGAACCAACGCATGTTGAAAACGAGTATATTGGCTGAGTCTTCACGGGGCCACTAAGTACCCATCCGAAAACCGTTCTATATGCAGAAGCAGAGCCACATACATCTCGTTTAATGCCATCAAGATTTATGTAACGCTCACTGTCATTTCCGAGGATGAAATCGATCAAGGAAGATATATTAAAATTTCGATCAGCTAAGTCAATACCAGAAAGCTCAATTTGGTTAGGGAGTTCAAAGGAAACCGAGGGAATCTTATTCGTGACTTTAGGTAAAACGATAGCAGTTACGGGTAAACGAAAATTGGATTTGTGCGAGACCAAAACTAAATCACATTCCTTTTCTGAAACTTGAGTTTGACCGCCAACTCCTATTATTTCGCAGTATGATCTTCTAGATGGGATATCCAAAAGATTTCGAACTTTTTCGGATATAAAGGTCCTTTCAGAACCTGGGTCAATGAGAGCTCTAATCGAGAATATTTTCCCTCTGCTTTCTATCTAAACCATTGCAGTTCGTAACAAGACTCTAGTATCACTCATGGCATAATTCGCATTAACTTGGAAAGTTTTGTGAGCATTTGAAGTTGTTGGACCCCTTTCAGATTCATTTGACTCAACGGATCTAGAATTTGTCGTTTTTTGATTTGAGCTATTTCGAGGAGGATTAAAAGAACGCATGTAAAGTAATGTGTGGTGTTTTTTACCACAATTTAAACAAGAATTTTTGCTTATACAATTCTTTTTCGTGTGAGATTGTGACAAACAATTGTTACAAAACTTATTCTTCAAAATGAAATCAACTCTTTCTTGAATTAAAAGCTTACGAAATTGCGAACAAGTTCTCAAACTGTGATCTTCATCGCACATTTTGCATTTGTAATTAAGTTTTTCTTGGGATGAGTACATTTGAACTTGTGAATGAGTTTCGTTTTGATTAAGGAAAGCAGATTTGTTCACTTTGATAGTGGAAATTCTTTCTACGACTTCACATCGTTTAAGTAGAAAATCACTTAATTGAGACCAGGTTGGTAACTCTCTACTGGCGTTTAATGATTGTTCCCATTGAGCCAATGTTTCGTTGGGTAATTTAGAATATACTAAAGACTAAAATGGGATCCCAGCCTTCCACTGATATACCCATTGTATCAAGCATAGCTAAACAGTCAGTTACTGAGCTATGAATTCTTTGTAGGGACTCATTATCCTCTACGCTAGCTACGGGGATATTGAAAAGGTTACGGATCTGATTGTCGACTAAAACTCTAACATTTTCATATCGCAACTTAAGAGCTTGCCAAGCTAGAGGAAAATTATTGTCGGTTAAAGGGAATCTTTTTACTATTGCTCCAGCTGAGCCGGTCGTTTTATTTCTAAGATGATAAAGTTTTTCCGCGAGAGTTAGCCTTGGATGGTTAATGTAGACTGCCGTGAACATATCACGAAATGCCGGCCAGTCCTCATAACCTCCTGAAAATATTTGAGTATCGCATGGGGGCAATTTAAGACCTGTACTTAACCGATCATTAGATGTGTTCAATGGGACTGAATCTATGCTAGCGCGAGCAATACTATCTCTTGACGTTTTTATCACATCAAGAAGTTTGGAAACGGTTAAATAATACATGTCAACACATGAATCGTATTGTTCTTGAGCTGTAGTTTTAACTTCTTCACTTTGATCGGAAAGCATTAGATCTTCATACGACTTTTCTACTTTACTCCAGCGAGTGTCTAAATCTTTCAGTTTTAAATCTATAAGTGCCTCAGATTGGCTTAAAATATCTTGGCTATCGCATTTTTTACAAAATGAAATTAAGTTTTTGGCATCAAATGCAAATCGCGTATTTAGAGAAGTCATTTTAATTTGTTATATGAAAAAAAATTGATAAGCTTTGTAGTTTTTAATGAACTTTTAGAGAAATTCTTTGTAATTAGAAAGAGATTAAAGAAGAATCCTTTGTAATTGGGATTGATAAAGAGTAAAATTTGGACTAAAGTTGAGAAATCTTTTGTAGTTTGGATCGAAAATAGATAAATCTGTTTCAATTTGGATTGAGTTAGAGCGAAATCCTTTGTAATTTAGATTGAGAGAGATAGATAAATCCTTTGTAATTTGGATTGAGAGAGATAAATCCTTTGTAATTCGGATTGAGTAAGAGCGAATCCGAAAAGAGAGAAATCCTTTGTAATTTGGATTAATTCTCAGATAGATACAATCAAAATTGATAGGTGAGCAAAATTCTTTAAGCAGTAAGTTTAAATTTTTTAAAGTTTTGTATAGTTTTGATTAATTATCGTCGAGTTCGATAATTTTCTCAAATGTAAAGCGTAAAAGATGTTATTCACATAGTTTAAAATGTTATAATGTTAGTAAAAGGGAAATAATTTCCATAAATATTTGTAGTTTTCTTAATAATTGCTGTAAAATGTTTTTTTTTTGTATATATATAAAAGTTTGATCGATTATCGTTGGACTCGATAATTTTCTCAAATGTAAAGCCCAAATATTTTTTTTTTTTTTTGAATATTGATTAAATTTTCATAAAATCTTGTAATTTTCTTGTTACTCGCCGTAAAAATCTGCAAAATTGTAAATTATAATGATTTATATTATTATTATATTTTTTTAAATAAGCGATTATTAATTATTTCTTGATTTATTTAAAATCAAAGAAATTTTTCTTTATCAAATTGCCGCAAATTTTCCGTACAATTTTAATTTTCCTTTAAAGCAAGCGATTGCTTTAAAATCCCTTTTATTTATTTAAAACTAATTCCCTACTGTTTTCTCTTTTTTCCCCACACGCTACAACTACACTTTATATTTTTTGTCATTCCTTGAGAAATTATAAAGACCCATGAATATATTAATCCTCGGACAGGATTAATAGATTTTAAGGACTTTATAATTTCTCAAGGAATAGGATCTCAAGGAATAGGATCCCACTGATCCGTATCTATGTCTAAAGAGTTCAGATTTGCAATACAGCAATTTATCTTTCTCTGAAGCTTTCTTATAGAAGCACTACACATGGTACTTACTAAGGGTAAATTCAATAGGGTTTCTAATTGCGCGTTAATTTGCATCCTACGATTCTCATACTGAGAAGCTAATTGATTCCACGCAATAAGAAAGTCATCATTTGTTAAGGGTGCATTGTCTACTATTTCTTTGGCTTCGCCGCTTATTTTTTGTTTAAGATGGAAAAGTTTTTCAACTCCACTTAAACGGGTATTATTGCCATAAATGGCCTTGAAAAGATCCCTAAACGAAGCCCAGCTTTTGAAATCTCCGCTGAACGTTGGCATATCACAAGGAGGTACAGTGAAACCTGCAAAACTGCTGGCTTGTGGGGGTTCGGGTAAAGATGGTCGGGTTTCATTTTCCTTCGTAATCTCCTCAATAGATTCGTCAATCGAGATCATGCTTGACCTATAAAATCCTTTAGCAGATCTGACTTGCCTAACAACTTCGCTTTCAGCTTTCTTCGGGTCCAGAATATCGGCAGATTCTCTAATTTGGGTGAATTTACGGTCAATTTTAGCCCATAATTCACTTAATTCCCGTTTTTGGAATTTAAGAGCGGGTAGAGATCGGAAACTTTCCGGGGTAGCACGATAATCTTCATCAAACGACTTTAAATCCGTTTGGATATATCTTAACAAATCGGCGGCCACAGACTCTAGAGTAGACATATTGGGTTATTTGAAAAAAAATGCTCAAAAAATAAAAAATATATTTCTATATAGAAATATTTAGGGTTCAAATTAAAAAAAAAGTGAGTTTTTTGCTTTAGCTGTACCAAAAATTACTTTTGCTCCAACTGACAAAATTTCCAATTGGGTATTAAAACGTTAATGTGTGCGCTACTTATATTAATACGCAGTATTAGTTCCCTAGGAACAATATACAAAATTATATTTTAAAATTTCTCTGAAAAGGGGTTGGGTGGGTTTTATATTTTCAAATTTGTATGAAAAGGGTTGGTTAAATGGTAAATATTAATTTGTTTTTATAAAAAAAAATTTGTGTTCACAATTTTTGTTTTTTATTCTTAAAAATATTTTAATATTTGTTCTGTTTTTAATATTTTGTGTTGTATTGTATTTTGTGCACTTTGTTGCTGTTGTTCTTGTGTGTTATTATTTAATTTATTTGTAAACAATAATTGTTATTTAAATTGTTTTTATTTATTTGTATTTTGTTTTGCACAATTTTTTTTTTTTTTTTATTTTAGTTAGCACTTTTTATGTATGTTTAGGGTAATTTTTCTTTTAGTTTGTAGGGTACTATTTATTTATTTATTGTGAACTTTTATTTTATTTATTTATATTTTTAATTTGTGGACTGTATCACTGTTTCACTTCACTTTTTAACGGTTCGTGAGGACCAATTTTGAATTTTTTTTGGATAAATAAATAAATAATAAACTTAAATTATTAAAACTAAAAAACTAGTGGTAAAACTTAAACCTAGCTTAAACCCTAGTACTAAAACCCTAAACCTAAAAATAAAATATTAAAACTTAAATACTAATTAAGAATACATATATCACAGATCAGTGTATCACAGTTTTATTTATATAAAAAACTTACCCTAAAATAAATAAACAAATAAATACTTAAATCTAACCTACCCTAAAATAAATAAATGTCAAAACGTGAATTTAACCTAATATTGATCTTAATATTGAACAGAATTTATAGCCTAAAAATTTGTGTTATATACTTACCCTATTTACTTATCTTATATACTACCCAAAAGTTCAATAAACACATATGAATTTATAACGTTTTTGAAAAGAAAAGGAAAAGAGTTTTATTTACTTACCCGCTACTTAAAACTAATCTATACCCTACCCTTTCTAACCCGAATAAACATAATTTATTTTTATAAGAATTATATCCTTAGCTCTTATGTAACTTTTTAAATATTACAATAAATAAACAAAAAATTCAAAATATGCATTTTTATTTAGAACAAAATTATGGGTATGTATAAATATATATGGAAATATATGAATATGTATGGAAATATATGAATATATATGATCATATATGTTCATATATCGCCAATTTTAGGATCTGAACATATATGGAGCTTCATATATGAACATGTATGGTGCCATATATGAACATATATGAACGTTTTTAGCTGGGTATACAAATATTGTTTACGTCACAGTTTTGAGCCAGTAATGAGCGTTAAAATCATTTTCAAAAGGGGACCTTACATGGGGGGTAGGGCCAATTATATACTCATAAATATCTGAAAGGGACATTCTTGCTCATAAAAAACTTGTTTAAGTGAATTTTCATCGCTGTAGTCGCATTTGAACGTTACAGCCAGTAATGAGCGTTAGAGTCATTTTCTGAAAGGGACCTTATACGGGGGGTGAGGTCAATTATAGACGGTTACCCATAAAATTTTATAAAGAGCTTGCGGCTCGCACAAATTTTGTTTATGTAGAATTTCACTGCTGTAATCGCATTTTGGGTCAGTTATTAAAGTTTAAGTCAATTTCTGAAGGGAAGTCCTGAAAGGGACTTTATATAGGGGTTAGGTTCAGTTATGGGCCTATATAATTTTATAAAAAGATTTTAGTTCCTCTAAAACATGTTTGTGCCGAATTTCACCGCTATAGATACTTCTTTTAATCAGTTATGAGCGATTTTCTTAAAGGGGCTTTATATGGGAGCTAGTCGAAATCATGGACCGATATTACCAATATATTCAATACCAAACAAACTTCATCGACTAAAAGTATCTGTGCAAAAGATAGTAGCTACTTTTTTGATGGTGGGTATAAAAAGTACTAAGTCCTTACAATTTGCTATTATTTTTACATGACTAATGTAAAAAGAAA